CTACCACATCTAGACCCTCACTGCTGGCCCTAGTTCCACACAAACGTTACCCGCCCACTCCCGCGTAGGGCTGGGAAATTCTGGGAGTTGAAGTCCACACATCTTCAAGTGGCCAAGGTTGAGAAACACTGGTTTAGAGAGTGCTTGCTGAAATTCTGGGAATCTCAGTAACATACTCACATACCTCTGACTGTTCCCCCACTGGAAAGAAGTGAATGGCAAAGCAGTTACTGTCCATTATTGGTAGCAGGATTCTGGACGATGGAGACCAGAATTTTGGAAAATCCAGACCCAGCATTTGACATGTTTCTCCTATGTAGAGGATTTCTCTTTTACAATAACCAGCAGGGGGGGCCAGGAGCAAGATAAGCTACATCAGCACATTAGCATGTATGAGGAAGCCCTCAATTTCTTCTTCCTGTTATGGTCCTGATCCAAATTGCCCCTTGAACACTCCCCCACCTACCTGCTTTGGGCCATAGGAAGAAAGCTGTAATTGGTGTCAATGGCAGTTTTCCTCCCCTGGCAAGTTGTACACCTATGGCAGGGTAGGAAGGAATGATTCAGGCTGGGATCCCACTGAGGGCAAGGAATTAAAGTGTCATTACCACAATATGCTTGGGAAGGGTCATACCAGCATTAAGTTAACAAATGAAAGAACTAGCTATAGAATTTAGCCCATAATGTGTCCCCTTCCCCATGAAGCCCAGAACACGTTAGGCAAGATAGTCATCATGTGAGCCACCCAGAGTCGTCGGGAGCTGGATGGCATACAAGTTTAACAATAAATCAATTTAAAGCTTAGTTATTTACTGTCAGAAAAATTATGTAAATATCCTTTCAGGTCACAAGGTGTGTTTTTTTTCCTGTTCCAAACTTTTCCTTCTCTTTCGTAGCTTCTTCAAAAGGGCAGACCACTGAGTTTGTCGCAATGCTTATAGAAAGATATTCCATTCATATTTAATTGTTATTAAAATGTGCCAAAGTACCAATGCAGACTCGTTCCAGAAGGTTGAGGTCCATTTTGTAGCAAGGACTGTTTTTGCTAATTTGATGCCCTCCAAGTGTGTTGAGCAAAGTAGGATGACCCCAGGTTGGAAAATACGCTTTCCCTGCTTGTAAAAGCCAACTTGGGGTCCAGGCCAGGGGTGAGGCTCCCATATGATTCTTATATTATCGAGTTGTCTTTTATCTTGAAACCTCCCTTGATGAAGATTAGAATCTGCAGCAAATCGTGCATCTGGATAGTTGATACTTTTTAAAAACAGATTTTAAGCTATTCCATTGGTTAATTATATTTCATATATGAGGTGCACATTTGCTTTGAACGTCTCCTGGCAGCTTCCTGGTGGGGGAGAGGATGAGCTTGAATCTGGTGTATTTGCTTAATGTGGCGTCATCATTAGCTTTATCACGCTATTGCACTAATGGGCACCTTGACATGGAGAAAAAGGTTTCTAGTCTTACAGTCTGAAGCCTGCATCTGATGCCCTGTGGCTGTGATGGCTAGGGATTCAGAGTTGTGAGAATAACTCACAACTTGTGAGTTGTGAGCTGTGATGGCTAGGGATTTACGCGGGCCCTGAGTTAAGAAAGTCTGCTTTAGAATAAATTCCATAGAAAGCAGTTGGGCTGATTCCATGTGAATTGTAACCTTCCTAAAAGCATTTAAAAGCACCAGGGATAAAATGGGACATGTTATTCTGGCTGGTTCTTTTTGGATTTGCAGACATCTTAACGGGGGGGGAAATGTGGTACACTGGATTTATTTATACTTATTAAGGCAGTGTTGTCCAAACTTGGCCACTTTGAGATGAGTGGACTTCAACTCCCAGAATTCCCCAGT